TGGTTTCTCTATGAATGGGCTAACTCTAAGGATGGCATTGTTCTGGTTCTTAGATTTTTCAGTTTTAAATAATATTTTTGGGTATATCCTCTTTCCTGTGTCACTTCCCATTCTGTACGGGAAATAAAAATAACTTTTGGTGTCTCCCCATTTAAGAGATAACAATCCCCTCCTCAATTCAGGACCAACAAATATTTATTGAAGTAATATGAATATTCCTATTGCATTATTTCCTGCATTTTTTAATAGATGACTCACACATAAAAAAAGAAAAGCTTAAATTTAGACTCCTCTTTTGGATGGCACTATGAGATAAAAACTATTAGCTAACATTTTGCATTTCTTGCCCTTTAAGAAAGGTTAACCATAATATTTTAAGCATTGGCCTGTTTTTTAAGAACCTTGTCTTAAAACTTTCAAGAACTTAGATTTGCATTCCTTTTAGAGAGTTTTTAACAAGTCATTTTACAGCAAATTTAGGTAAGAAAAGACTATGTATGACAGATGAGAGGATTTTCCTAAATATGATAAATAACATAGAATCTTTTAACCTTGTCTTTTGTGTACAAAGGCACCTTTAAGGGAGTCTGCAGTAAGTACTATATTAACACAGAAGTTTAGTTAATTACAGCCACTATTCTCACGTACCTTAACTGAGTGTGAATACCAAGCAATCTAATAGTGTGCCCCAGAGCATTAATACCTAATGAAATTGGATTCCTTGTTTCCTCTAATGAGCTCATTGTTTTTCTAAATATGGTCATTGAAAGTAAATGATCAATAGCTTTGAAAATGACACCATTGAGGGATTATTTTAGCAAAATTTGAATACTCCTTTTGGTGTAAAATAAATATTCCTCCATAACTCAGCACATTTTCTGAATAACTTCATATATAAGAATGTCCAACGTAGGTTCGTTAATTTTAATGACTGTGTTAGCAGGAAATTAAGGACAATGATCATAGAGCAGCGAATTAAAATCCACATAACCTAGTTCAAGTTGGAATAAACTGGATTCTGTGTGTTCTTGTTAGTTGAGAGACTGAAGGCCAGTAGCATATGAGAAGCCTGTTTTCTTCTGTGCTATAAGAGTTCACTACCAATTGCCCCTACTGTATTAGAATCCTGCGGCTTCCATAACAAATGAACACAACTTAGTGGCTTAAAACCACAGAAATACTACTCTTTTGTTTGTTTGTTTGTTTAAGATTTTATTTATTCATACAGAACTGGGGTACAGGCCAGAGATGTGGAGGGTGAGAGGATTCACCAGAGACAGAGTGGGGAGCAGAACAGGCAGATCGACGAAGTACACTGCTGAGGGGAGCAGCGGGTGGGCCAGGAGAGGTCTGCCGCGCCATGCGGATTTCCTCGGGGCAGGCGGGAATCGAACCCATGCGGAAGTGGCCTTAGCTTTCCAGTGCTATGCTTCAACCCGCTGCGCCACCAGGGAGGGCCCAGAAATACCTACTCTTAAAGCTCTAGAAGCCAGAAATTTGAATGCAAGGTGTTGGTAGAGCTGCCTTCTCTGAAGACTCTAGGAAAGCGCCTGTTCCTTGCCTCTGGCTCCTGGTAGGAGCTGGGCTTTCTGATTTGTGTCTCTATTCCTGCAGTCTGCTACTTGTGATCACAAGACCCCCTTCTCTTCTGGAGCTCTCTCTCTGAGACACGGTTCTTTATAAGAACACTTGCCATTTGATATAGGGCCTAGTATAATGATCCAAGATGATTGTCTTATCTCAAGATCCTTAATTACATATGCAGAGCTGCCTTTTTTTCATTGGAATGAGATGACAACAATTAAGTTCTGGGGGTTAAGCCTTGAACATATGTTTTGGGAGGCTACATTCTTTATATTTTCCTTTCTCCATTTTCATTGTGGTTAGCTAGTAAAAATGAAAACAGTCACTATTCAGGTTAATACACTATTTAAACACATATGGAATCTAACATTTAATGAATAAAAAATTTATGTGTGTATAATATTTAATTCTTATATTCACTCTATCATTATCTTCTTTATTCAGATAGATTGAGATTTAAAAGAAGTGTTATCTTGCCAAGAACACAACTTACACTAAAAGTACATTTTTTCAACTATTGATTAAATCTTAATGCATATATAAATGTATGTATCTACAACCTCTTTAGAAATTGCTGTATTCAATTTTATAAGATGGATTTTCTTTATTATCTTTTTGGTCTCCATTGTTCTTGAGGTCACATAATATTCCATGAATTCCAGAACATCACTTCAAGATTTAACCTTGAAAAGAGCAAGCCAAAGAGAGGTTTTGTAGAATAATGGCCATAGGATGAGATTGAAGTTAAAGCTTACTGCTTCATATAAAGCTACCTTCCAATTTTCTCTTTTAGAGTATGTTAGCCTGAAATGGAATTGGAATAAAAAGAAAAAGTTTTAATATAATGCAATATTTAAGAACATAAATATAGATGGTTGTGCTTAAGTCCTGTCTCCCTCACTTATGAGTTATACTTTCTTGGGGTTATCACATGACTTTCTAGGCTTCTTTTTATTTATTTATAAAATAGATAATAATAAGGATACCTTACAGGAACCTTCAATAAATGAAATAATGGTGTATTTGAAGAGCAATTGTTTCCTATTATAGGTTCAATATAGGAATTATTAATCATTACCAACTGCATTGTTGGGTTCTTGGACCCAAATTCTAGCCAGGGTATAAGTAGACCTCTCCACTCCAATAGCAGTTCTTAGACACTAGGAGTATATCTGAGAATTCAACTCAGCTATGACTCTAACAACCCAGGCATTGATCAGATTCCACAATTAGAGGGCTCAGGCCCTCAAAACTTTCCTCCATTTCAGATGCTGCTTGAAAGTTCTGATCAACTGACTACAGGTTCCCAGGATGCCCCTCCTCAGAATTTAGGAGCCTGTTGTCAACCCAGATTACAACTAATGCATCCGACTATCTATAAATCAGAGGTTCCAAGGATGCCTTCCGTATATCAATTAATTTGCTAAAGCATATCTCACAGAATTCAGGAAATCCATTTACTTACTAGACCACCAGTTTACTGCCAAGGGCATTAAAGGGTACAAATCAACAGCTAGGTGAATGAGGTGCAGGGGTTGAGGTATAGGAGAAAATGCCCAGAACCCCCATGGGCTCCCAAGTGTGTCAGTGTCCCAAATCTCTACCTGCCACCAGCCCAAGATGATCTGAGGGACCTCCTCTTGGGCTTTTATGGAGGCTTGGTCATTAAGACTGAGGTCAACCTCCATCACCTCTCTTCTCCCAAGCTCAAGGGGTAGACTTAAAGTTCTAACTCTACTCTGTTTTATTTCCTTGGTAACCAGATCAGTTCTGAAAGGTTTCCAAAAATTTACTTCATAAACATAGCTAAAGACAGTCTTAACATTTAACACTCTGAAAATTCCAAGCCTTTTGAAAACTGTGAGCCAGGACTATGGATGAGGACCAAAGTTATTAGAATACATTTTTTTGGTCATGTGAATGACCAAAATACATATTTCCTATAAATTATATCTTCACACCAATTATAGTATTTTACTCATAATAGATGTGCTACATTAAAAAATGTAGTAAAGTAGTAAGCAGTATCTTTATTAAGTACACAATAGAGATTTAAAGCAGAAAGGGGTCAGAGTTTTCTAGTGATTTTATTCCTATCACCTTGCTTTGTTAGTATATATATATATATATATATATATATATATGTGCGTGCGTGTGTGTGTGTGTGTATATGTATATATAAAGGAAAGTTTTCATTTTCTGAGATAATTCTTAGTTAAATCTTATTGCATTACTCTCAGATTTCCAAGGTACTGCAAATCCATAATTGAGTCAGAAGAAAAATATTAATTCTGTTCCATATGCATGAGCTCTATTAAGAATACTTGAAACTACTTTCTGTTGGCATGTTAGCCATTTTGAGAAATCCATTGTGACTTACAGTTTGTACAGGAACTCAGGTACATTTTAGCTATAAGTGGACAGAATCCTCTGCATAGCATTTCAAACTAAAAGTGGTTTACAGTTATCAGCTTGTATGAAATTAATGCTAAGTTTACATCCATGATATAGTGCAGATATTTATATCTGTCGGTAGAACAAGGAAAAGAAAGTCATGAGACCTTCATATTTCATTTACTGGTGTCAATGTATAGCTTTCTTTGGTAATTATTTTAAATTTATGAGCCTAATATATAACACCTTTTTTCATAGAACACAATGTTCATGATGAAGAAAAATTAATGTACATTCCTAATAGACTCAAGAAGTCAACATTTATCATCTATTGTTTTATTAACTTTTTTTTGATGAGTAAATGTCAGCAGAGGGAAATGAAATTAATTATCTGTGTTAAACTATGACTGGGATAGAACCAGCCATAGGCATTTGATTATAATTAATTCTGATTTTATCCATCTTTGACATGACTTTCCTCCCCCACTACACCAAATTAGGCAACGAATTCAGTCTGGCAAGAAAAGCCTGTGATTGTCAGTCTGTAAGGGAAAATATTCTAAAATGCATTGCATTTGTTGGAAATTGAATCTGATGGTGCTTGTAACCACTGTACTATGCTCTCAACTCACAATAGTCAAGTTCTCCCTTTGCTCAAGGGGACCTGAAGTGTGTCAGCATGAAGTTTTTCTTGAAAAAATATATTTTTAAGCTTTATTTTTTAAAAATTTATTTATTTATGAATACAGAGCTGGGGTACAAGCCAGAGGTGTAGGGGTGGAGAGAGGCTTCACCAGAGACAGAGTGGGGAGCAGGACAGGCAGATCAACGAAGTACATTACTGAGGGGAACAGAGGGTGGGTCAGGAGAGGTCTGCAGCCCTGTGGTTCACCTCCCTGGCAGGCATCCAACTTGCACTGAAGCGGCTGCTGCTAACTTGCAGTGCTGTGTCCTAACCCGTTGCGCCACCAGGGAGGGCCCAGAATGCATTTTTTTCACCCAGTGTCTTCTCCAATATCTAGGTGAGCACAAAATGCCGAGGCCTCTGGTGGGAGTGTGTCACAAATGTTTTTGATGGAATTCGGACTTGTGATGAATACGATTCTATTTTTGCGGAACACCCATGTACGTATACTGCAGAACTCCTGGATGCTAGGAAATAAATGACTTAGAAAATTGAACTTAGGTTTCAGGATATATATGTGTGTTTTCTCCAAAAATATATTAAAGTTCTGTTCAGTTTTAAATGTTTTGATTGGCAATTTAGTTTATTTCTGAAATGTGAATTTGAACATATTTTAGCATAGTTTATCCTTTTCATGTATTTATAAATTCTGGCATAGTGTTTTATACAGAGTCATCTTATAGAAAATACTGTAAAAACTGAAAGAAACTCTTTAGGATGTTGTGATTGTATGATTAGAATTGATGGGTTAGATGTAAAATATTTTGGAGGAGTCAGTTAGCTTTGACTTAGTTCAAATACAAGGTTACAGTATTTCAACTGAAGAAGATTTGATCAGGGAGAGAGATAGGTAAGGAAAGACACAAGTTAAGGATTAATAAATGAAAAATACCTACATACATAATACATGATAGCAAGAAAAACAAACCAAATGCTTTATTTTCCTTACCATTAACTTTAAATTATAAGTAGGTGTTAGTGAGGATCCTATGCATAAAATATTTTATAGATTAAAAATCTCATTTTTAATTCTCATTTGTTCTCTATGGCATTTATTTATTTATTTTTGGGACATCGAATAATGCCAAGAAATACTGGTGCGTTATTAAAATCATTCAGTTATAGTCCTTTTAAAAGAATCATTGGGTGTTAGCACCAAATGGCAACCTCTTTTTTCAAGATAAATGAAAAGTAAACCCTTGGAATGTTACTTTTCCCCTGGATAGCTATTTCAATCCCAGAAAAAAACACTTAAAAGAAGTGGTACTCTTAAAATATCTTCTGCCATTTAGGACTTAAGAATCTGAAACATATTTTAGCATAATTTCCAAGTAATTTATTTCATTTCTTTTTTTTTAAGCCTTTTTAATTCTCTCTCTTTCCCCTCCCTGTGTTAACCTGCTTCTATAGACCAAGAAGCATGGCTGGTTATGGAGACTGTGGTGGCTATACCTGGGAGGAGAAAGCATACATTGCACAAAAATGAACAGTGATGTAAAATATATATAAGTAATAATAAAAAAGAATGGAAACTCATGTGGGTACAAGGTGTCCTGGAAATGCAATGGGGAGATCTGAGAAAAAAAAAGAAAGATAAATCTTTCAAAGTTTCAAATAATGTCATGTACATTTATGCAAGAACAAAATAAAATCACTCATAAGCTTACTGCACAGAAAAAAATCACTGTTTATATTTAAAATATCCTTTTTTATTTATTGCTTAAACTAGCTCTCATATTTCTTTTTATATATTCTTACCTATTAACTTCAGATAATATCTAAAGTTTCATTATTTTTCTTTTAGAAAAATTCCACCTTATACTTAAAGACAATAGGGTTGAGAATATATTCTAAGGAAATGATATATCTATACCCTCTAAGCTATTATCCATATGAGGAGAATTTTAACTTTAGCTTTGATTTATTTCTTACAGCCACAATTAATTTTTTTTCACCTGGACAACAAAGCTATGCAGACCTAGATAAATATATATTTTTAAAGATTTATTTATTTATGCATACAGAACTGGGGTACAGGTCAGAGGTGCAGGGGCAGTGAGAGGATTCACCAGAGACAGAGTGGGGAACAGAACAGGCAGACTGACAAAGCACACTGCTGAGGGAAACAGTGGGCAGGTCAGGAGAGGTCTGCTGCGCCATGTGAATCACCTCAGGGCAGGGATCGAACTCATGCTGAGGTGGCTTTAGTTTCTTTGTGCTGTGCTTTAACCCGCTGTGCCACCAAGGAGGGCCCCTGTGAAATACTAATAATTCTGGCTGCTAAATCTTAGATGATTGACACTTCCTAGGTGGCCAGCTTAGCAGTCAACTTTCAGAGCTGCCTGTCAGAACAGGGTGAGCCATGAGGCTCCTGAAGACCCCTTAAGTATTAGTCACTAAGTTCCACAGTTTCTGAGCAATGTTCTTTAAGCACATGGGTCAGAGAACTTAAAGGAAAGGGAAGAACAGGGCCCAAAGGAAGCTGGAGAACAGGGTCCACAGTGACTATAGAGTACCCACACACATGGTTCTTCTGGTCCTGGGTGGTCTCAGGTTCTAAAGGGGAAGTTGAACAACTTCAATGGAGTCACTTCAAAGTGTAGGGACCACTTGTCCTGGAGTGTTGTGAGGAGGTTCACTTGTATATACCAGGTGTTATCAAGAGGTTATGATGGAATATAAAAGCTGATATGACACAACGAGTTAACTTATTTTTCTCTTTCCTCCATTTTTAGATAAATGAACCTTAGACTTGTCATATATTTGAAATTTGAACCTAATTTTTTTTGAGAGGTTGCCAAATTAGTGGCCTTAAAAATTCCATTCTAAAAGCAACTACACTCACATGTTAATAACATAATTATATATTAAATATTACCTATTAACAAGGTAGGTGCTAATTGTATGCATTAACTTCCATGCTTAGATGGTTCATAAAATATTCTTTTTTATTTTAAATAAGACCATATTCATCTAAGTAACTTATTACTATTGAGGAACTTATTAAGAATGCAAAGAATCCCCAAATCATTATGAAAGTAAAATATAATTATAGTGCTAATAAAGGAATACATTTTATTATTCCTCTCCATTAGCTAGCTTAAATGTGGCTGCACTGAATCCAGGTAATTAACTCTGTGACAAATTTCCCTATATTTAATTTAACTGTGTGGGACTCACAGTTCAGGAATCTTTCCTAGTTAAAATTGTGTGTATTGCACAAGAGGACTGTCGTTATCCCACTTCTCTTTATCTGACCTCCTCTTCCCTGAGCCTTCTACCACACAATCTCATTGACTATAACTTTGATATATCTTCAATCAACAGTGCAAGGCCGCACAGAGAGTGTTGCCTGAGCGAAAATATGATCTGGCTTCCAGAAATTATATTTTCCTTAGTAGCAAAATTTCTCCTCTTTCTAAAATTCTGCTAATTGCTCCCAGCCTGAATTGACAAGAGATATCTTGGAAGTATTTGATTCTGTTCTCCTGTATATAATTTTTCAATTATTTTTTAAAGTACTAAATGCATTTATCATTTATTCATTAAACATTTATAGACAACCTCTACAGAATAAAAACTCTACTTTCAGTACAGTGTTTAGCTGTAACACATGTCAACAAGATCAGGCTAAGAGTCAAAAAGAGACATTTAGTCTCTACTGTATGCCAGGCATTTTACTAGGAGCTTAAAAGATTAAAAAATAATATCTAAACAAAAAATAATGTTACTCTTTCATAACAATATTGAGGATTTCAATAAAAGATTTATTTATTTATGCATACAGAACTGAGGTACAGGCCAGAGGTTCAGGGGCAGTGAAAGGATTCACAAGAGACATCTAGTGAGGAGCAGAATAGGCAGATGGACGAAGTACACTGCTGAGGGGAGCAGTGGGCGAGACAGGAAAGGTCTGCTGCAAGTGGGTCACCTCCCTGGTCAGGGATCAAACTAGTGCTGAAGCGGCTGCTGCTAGCTTCATAGTATTGCACTTTTACCCGTTACAGCACCAGGAGGGGCTCAATTTTGAGTTTTATGAAAACATTAAGGGTGTTTTTTTTTTTCCAAGCCCATGCAAATTAAAGGGCTTACAATCAGTTGTGTTAATGTGTGTGGTTATAGTTTTTGTTGTAGTTGTGAGTTAATGTTTCCTTCCTTGGTATTCTATATGCTCTCATCTTCCAGTGAAGTTGGTGGTAACTCGAGCGTTGATGATTACTGCCGATATTCTGGCTGGGTTTGGACTTATCACTCTGCTCCTGGGTCTTCACTGTGTGAAATTCCTCCCTGATGAACCATACATCAAAGTTCGCATCTGCTATGTGGCTGGAACTATATTACTAATAGCAGGTACTGGTCTGAACTAATGTACTTCCTCTAAGGGCTTAAGGTGAAGGAGAGGATGTGTTCTGAAGCAATTTATTTTGGAAACATATGTGACTTGCTTTTCTAGATTGAATGAATTAAGATCATGTTCTCCAGCCTCGTTTTTTTGGCTTTGGAGTCAGTTCATTAATCTCATATTAGTTAAGTTCTCAAACTTTTTTTTAAAAAAAGATTTATTTATTTATTCATACAGAACTGGGGTACAGGCCAGAGATGCGGAGGATGGGAGGAGCGACCAGAGACAGAGTGGGGAGCAGAGCAGGCAGACTGTGGAAGTACACTGCTGAGGGGAGCAGTGGGCAGGTCAGGACAGGTCTGCTGCACCATGTGGGTCACCTCCGGGGTGGGGATCAAACTCATGCTGAAGTAGCTTTAGTTTCTTAGTGTTGTGCTTTAACCTGCTGTGCCAGCAGGGAGGGCCCTGTTTTGAGTTTTATTAAAAAAAATAAGGGAATTCAATTCTAAATTCTTGCAGATTTAAAAATCTCACATTTTTCAGGAAGCTGTATTAATGTCTGTGACTGATTTTTTTGGTTACCTCTGTAAGTTTAATGCTTCCTTTTTCTGTATAATATAAACTCATGCCCTCGTTTCCATATATCTATATATGATGTGTAACCTTAGGCCAGTTGCTTCGGTGGTCTCCATTGTTTCCTGATCTGCATGGTAGAATGAGGCCTAGGTATCATTTGAATTGTTATAATGAAAATCAAATGCAGAGGAGTTAACACACCACACATCCAAAATCGGGGGCCCCCTAATATTTCCACATACAAACATTGAGTCAAGACCTGATGATCCTTGGGTTGTATTAAAATCACAAGTATTTACTAATATTTCCTTTTGTAAGACATTTATTCCCACATCCAGTCTGGGGATAAAGCTATTGTATGTAGTGATATATTTCACAAACTTAAACATTTAATAATGTGCTTTTTTTTTCCAGAATACTTTTTGAGGCATAATTAGGGTCCATTTTTTTTTTTTAACAAACAAACAAACAAAAACACTTTTTAGGAGTCATTGCAATGAAAAAAATCATGGCTGAAGAAATGCTGAAATTAAATAACCAAAGGTGGTAAAGGACTTGATGCCATCATTAGAAATTAGTAGATAGGACCCTCCCTGGTGGTGCAACTGGTTGGGATGCAGCATTGCAAGCTAGCAGCAGCCACCTCAGTGCAAGTTCATCCTCAGCCCCAGAGGTGACCCACATGGTGGAACAGACCTCTCCTGTCTCACCTGCTGCTCCCCTCAGCAGCGAACTTCATCAATCTGCCTGTTCTGCTCCCCACTCTGTCTCTGCTGTATCCTCTCACCTGTCTCTGGTGAAAGCCCCTTCACCTCTGGCCTGTACCCCAGTTCTGTATGCATAAATAAATAAATCTCAAAAAAAAATTAGTAGATATACAGACATAGCTGTATAGATATAACACCTTATACAGTAGTAGCAAAATAGATTATGTAGCTATTTATTATCTTTATATCTATATACCACATATATATTCATAATGTATTTCAAAGCTTCAAAAAAGATATCCCCATTCTAAACCTATTAGTTACAATATTATAGAAAGATATGGCAATTTATACCCTGTTATCTAAAGGTTATATATTCATGATCTGGTCCTTCTGAAAATTCTTGCATTAAGTAATTGGGAGAAGAATGCAATTAAATGGTCACTGAAATAGGTAACACAGACTTCGGGGGTGGGGTGTGGGGGAGGAGGGGAAATGTGAATCTTTGAGAGTAAAGATTTCAGAAACAGCATTACACATAGCTTTCTGTGCCACAACTTCTCACTATTTTTATTCCAACTAGTGCTTGACTTGCAACTCATACCTTTAAAGTAAAAGGAACTTAGTAGCATTATTTCAGACCAGTTGGTCTTCAAATAAACTAATCTGTGGAGATTAAATTTTACTTGAGGAAGTAAATTCCTATTGTTTTTATGTGGCCTGGGATCAGTAGATAAAAATTTATTTTAAAATATTGAAAATTTTTACTTCAGATATTTATTTTTTATACCAACTCACTGAAGTGAATGATTTTAAGAGGAAAATTTATGGGGGCAAGAGTTAATAGGATACCCTCTTAAAGATGCACCCTTTCCATTAAGAAATATCAATATACCTAAACATATGCTTTGTATCATTTGTCCTCATGTGTCACTCTTTTTTCCTTGTTTTTAATATTTTCTTTATGCAGCATTAAAATAGCACTGGAAATTTTGGAAAATTAAAGAAAACCATGGTGATCATTTTAGGTTTACACAAACAGATAAACTTTTTCACTGTTACATTTTTAAAAAAGATTTATTTATATATACAAGAGCTGAGTTGTAGGCCAGAGATGCGAGGGGTAAGAGGATTGACCAGAGACAGAGCAGGGAGAAGAATAGGCAGATCTGCTGAAATACACTGCTGAGGGGAACAGCAGGTGGGACAGGAGAGTTCTGCTGAGCCATGTGGGTCACCTTGTTAGCCAGGAATCGAACTCTGCTGCAGGGACTGCTGATTGCTTCATAGTGCTATGACTTAACTCATGCACCACCACGGAGGCACTCACAATTACATTTTTGTATATCTTTTATGAAGAAACTGAAATATAATTTTGAAGAAATACAATATGGGAGAGGAAAAGAAGATATAAAGTATCCAAATTTGGGTTAGTCATGAATCTATATTATTATCCATTTAGATAGTACCATCTATTTTGGGAAATAGGCAGATCTTGGATTTAAAATTGGGAAGAATAATTTGCATTAACACATAACTTGCATTAACAAGTATCTTTATAACTTCTTAACATATATTTTTTTTCAGGTGCTCCAGGGATCATTGGATCTGTGTGGTATGCTGTTGACGTTTATGTAGAACGTTCTTCCCTAGTTTTGCATAATATATTTCTTGGCATCCAATATAAATTTGGTTGGTCCTGTTGGCTTGGAATGGCTGGGTCTCTGGGTTGCTTTTTGGCTGGAGCTGTCCTCACATGCTGCTTATACCTCTTTAAAGGTAGGTATCAATGCAGAATGGAAAACTCCTTTGCCTTCAACCCAATGGAAGTAAATCACTCCATCACACGATAGTATTATAGGCTGAATATTTGTTAGCATTAATTTTTTTTAGTTGTTTAAGGACAAGTGATTTGCAATACTATTATTATTCAATTAGTGGCATATTTATTAAAAAATATGTACTGTATTCAGTATTAACATATGTAGTAATTATTTTATGTATTATAATCTTATATGTCTTTTTTTACCTTTAAGTATTATCTTCTTTACCCACTCTACTAATTTATATCCATGTTAAGCAAAGAGTAAACTGAGAATCAAGTCAAATATTTGCTGCTAAAGAACTTAATGGGTTACTGTTAGGTTTCTAAAAATACAACTTTAAAAACTAAGGGGATTATTCACCAGAAAGGAATAAAGAAATAAGTTACTTGATTACATTTTAAATATAAAATAGTTTTCAGGATACAAATCTGAGATTTTCTCCTAGGCTTCTTCTTAGAAAATTCTTGCATTAGATGAAGAATATGTAAAATGACATTTTTTAATTTTCTAAAGTTTACTGAGCTGTAATTGTTTTTATATCTCTACCTTTATCTCGTAAACAGATGTTGGACCTGAGAGGAACTATCCTTATTCTATGAGGAAGGCTTCAACTGCAGCTGTTTCCATGGCCAAGTCATATAAGACCCATAGAACAGAGACTGCCAAAATGTATGCTGTAGATACAAGAGTGTAAAGTCTGTATCTACAGATCAGGCTGTGTTTGTGTTCTTCAATTAACCATTGTGTTCAGGTTAATAAAGTAGTGTTATCAACCTAGGAACTTCAGACTTCATGCTCAGTTAAGTTAATTCAAAACGTTTGATTTTCCTCTATTCTCTTATTATTTTTTTCTCTCTCCCTCCCCTCCACACTTCCCTTTATTTTAAGACTATACTAATTTTTTTCTAGTGATTTTTTTTATTTCTATTAGAAATCGTGACATGATGATCTTAAGATAAAATGACACTTTATGTATAGAAAACCACCTTCAAAAGAGTCCAGAGATTCTAATCTTTGAAAGGACTGACAAGCTCATAACTCTTTTCTGGCTTTGGCTCACATTTTGTATTCTCAACTGAATGAATTATTTGATAACTTTGAAGATGATTCTTCCAAATTCAAACAACTATACAAAAGCCTATCAATGCTGTGATTCTTTAACATGGAAAAAGAAAACCACAAATTCATGTGCCAGCCCCCAGTCAGTTTAAGATAAGAAATTTCTCTCCTGAACTCTAAATATCATAGGAAGTGCAAAATTAACACAGAAGTCAGTGGTGATTTTCTTCCTCCTTAGCAACATAAATTTGTGTATTATCTTATTGCTATTCCAAGTTTGCTTATAAATTACCAAATTATCAGAAAGTAAGTGATCAACTAGGAAATGCACTCATTTATTGATTGGATATCCAAATATGTTTCATGAGCACAGTATATCAGAATTCACTAGCTTTGGCATCTACTTATCACTGGGTATTTAGCACCCAGAAATAATATCTCCTATAAGATACAGTTTAACAAATGTTTGCTGATTGAAAAATTGAAGTAACAGTTCATAACTCTATACTGAAAAAAAAATAGATTAAATTGTGTGCTTTTTGGAAAAAAGAAATATACTCACTTAAAGAAATCAGTGAATGATTGCTAATAGGTATTTAGTCATATTCATAAAGTAATCAAGCTGTTTTTTAAATGGTAGAGACAAAATGATTACAAAATTTAATCTCAGGTTTTCTGATTCCCTATAATTTATATGAATACCATTAATATCCTTACAGTAATTTAACAGACTATCAGCTGAATTAGAAATTAGTACTTTGGAAGAAAGGAAACTGAATAGTGAATTTCTAAATTTCAAAAGCTTGAAATAATGTAACAATTAGATGGTTAAAACTCAGTGTGCATGTGTGTGTATAAATAGAATATAAAATGTTTAGAATGGTGTTTATATCATGCTTTTATACAATATTTCTGTACTAATAATAAATACAGGAAAATATCTAATATAACTTTAGATTTTAGAGCAATTTATTCCTTTTATATCATGAATATTATTAACTATGTATTAGACACTTAAAATTATTTGCTGATCATGTTTACTAGTTATATGGGTATTTTTCTATTCTCGTGAAAACTTTGTGTGTGTTTTTTTTTTTTTTTTAAAGATTTATTTATTTATTTGTGCATACAGAACTGGGGTACAGGCCAGAGGCTCAGGGGCGGTGAGAGGCTTCACCAGAGACAGAGTGGGGAGCAGAACAGGCAGATCGACGAAGTACACTGCTGAGGGAAGCAGAGGGCGGGTCAGGAGAGGTCTGGCTCGCCATGTGGTCTCCTCCGGGGCAGGCGGCAGGCGGGGATCAAACTCATGCGGAAGTGGCTTCAGATTCTCAGTGCTGTGCTTTAACCCGCTGCGCCACCAGGGAGGGCCTGTGTGTGTGTTTTTTAAAGATTTATTTATTTATGCTTACAGAACTGGGGTACAGGCCAGAGGTGTGGTAGGTAAGAGGATTCACCAGAGAGAGTAGGGAGCAGAACAGGCAGATCAACTGAAATACACTACTGGGAGGAGCAGCAGGCGGTCAGGAGATGTCTGCCACACCATGTGGATCAGCTCCCTTGCTGGGAATTGAACTCAAGCTGCAGTGGCTTCAGAGAGCTTCCTAATGCAGTGCTTTCACCTGCTGCACCACCAGGGAGAGCCCAACTTCGTGTTTTTTTAACTTTGGTTTTTAGAATTTTTATTCTCACTTTGAAATTATGGTATATAGATTAACATATTTTGTTTATTCTAATAAGTCTCTTCAAATCCTTCTGGGGAAAGACAGGGTGAAATCTAATTAGGTAGTTCAATAGATTTTAGAGCTATGCTTTTCCCTCTTTAAAGATTTTATTTGTATGAAAGAATATTTTTGAAGATAATGGTGATAACTGATCTCTTACTGCTTTGATTTTTTTCTCAATAAAATATTTTGTATATGCTCACAGAAATACTAGTATTGTTAAAAATTTTCCTTGAAACATTTAATCCTAATCAACTATAATGAAGCAACCCATAATGAAATCATAACAAAGAATATATTTTGTTTAGTGAATAGTTTACAACAAAATAAATATTAAATACTGAAGAAGTAATAACTGACTGGGTGGTGACTCAACATGCCGACAAAGAATAATATAAGCCCAAAATACGCACAATAAGATTTTTAGGTTGAAACAATATAATGACCTACTAAATTCTGGGGCCTCTAATTTAGTCCTGTACTGTTAACTGCAAGAAGAAAAAACAATATTCAGACGATTAGACTTTATAACTAGTTTAAATCACATTTAAGTTGAAATTAGCCTTTTGTTATTATACACCAAAAGTGTATCTTATTTAAATATCATGGCCCTGTTTTCTACATTTGGAAATTTGCTACTCCTAACCCTTTGTTGAATCTGCACATTTTCAAACATACTAAGGCAGTCACACATATACAGATTTCTACAGTAAAAGTTTATTTTATGTATGTTTCTTTGTAAACTACTTGTTCTCCCCATCAACTTTCTGCCTTTTCAAAGCAAAAATTTTCACCTCACCTAATACCCTGTCTATATTTAAAGTCCTCAGTTTCTCAAAGTATGCTATTCAGTATCAAAATCCAGGTGTACATTTCATCTGTCTATTATGTCCCTTAAATTTCTTTTAATCACACAAGCCGTTGTGATTTCTCTTAGTTTAAAGACAGACATGTATGATTTTCAGTATTTTCATCTTTTGAGTTTAATGTGAATATAAATTTTCACCATTTTAGTGTTTTAAACCACTATTATCATTATTATTTTGATATTTTATTAGTTAGTCATCAGTTAGTGGGCACTCCTTAAACTATCTTCTATACTTTTTGACAAAGCCCTTGAAAGTTGTTTATTGTTTTAGTGGTCTTAATAATACATACAGAAAAAGTCAAATTTATAGTTTGGCAAATTTTCACAGCCTCAGTCTACCTATATAATCAGAATACAGAGCAAGAAGTAGAAGACAATCCTTTCTCAGGAGCTACTGTACCCTACCTTGCAGCCACTATCCTATGGATTCACCACTCTAACTTATATAAATACATATAAACAGATTATACATCTGTGATAATAAATCTCTTGCCTGGAAAAGCTAAACAAATATCCATTGCATGCAACTGACTTGTTCATTGGATTATTCCTTCCTTTATTCTTCTTTACTTATGTACAGTTTTATTGAAAAAGTCACCTATGTGTTTTCAAGCAGCCTAAGGCATAGAAAGTTCAGAGGAATAAAACACGTAAGTTGGAGAACAATAAAAAAAAATCATCATGCATGTGTGTACAAAATGCCATAGGAAAAGCTCTCCCTGCGTCTGCCTCTGGAACAGGAAGCCTTCACAGAGGTTGGAGTAAAGATAAGAGCAGTTTAGTGAAAGAATTCTGTGCAAAGAGAACAGAATGCACAAAGAAATAGAATCAAGCAAGGGCAACTACGTGCTGAAAAATCACAAGCAGGTCTGTGTTCACAGAGCATAGGCGGGAGGAGGAAGTTTGACACACAAGTGACAGTGGAAAGGAGAGGACAGAACTGTTGCCCTTTCAAGATAGGAAAAGTGAAATAAAGAGGTTTGTTAAGAAGCCCTTGATGTCATCATTAGAAGTGCAATCCAGTGTTATAATTGCTTGTTCAACTGCAAGGTGTTTTTTTTTTTTTTTTTTTTCTGCCAGGTAACTGCCTTGGTTTCCCTCCTCCAGTCAGTTTCTCTGAGGTGTCATCTTAGTAAAATCTTGTTAAGCCAGGCTTTGCCATCACAGAGATAATTCTGAGTCCCGATTAAATCTTTCCCCCCTGTTATGTCCTCCTTTCCTTTACAATTTAATCTTTCAAATCAATTCTTTTACCTTTTTCATTCCGTTTCTCTATCTCAACACTTTTAAGCTGGAGAGAATAGTTCCTATCTCACTATAAGGGATAAAGTGAGAATTAGTAGAAAAATCATTTCTACAGCAGTTTCTGCAGTTTTTGAGCTCAGAAATAATTGTTCTCATGTGACTAATCTTGGACCTTAATATGCTGAAATTATATAGAAATCGATAAAATGCACCATCCAACACCGCTACTATACTTTTCCAGTCATACATAAATGCTACTGATTAAGTCACTTAATTTTTTAAAAAATAACATGTAGTTGTGTCAAACAGAAAAGGGAAAAAAAATACTACACCACAGGTAATTTGCTACTATAGTAAGAAAAAAATGCAACATAAGATACATAATATTTATTCATTTGGTTATTTAAAACAAATCTCAGAAAGCAAATTTTATTCATAAATAGCTCATTATAAATGTATAGTAGAGAACACTTTAATAATACTACTGTATGAACTATCTCAGTCAACATCAGCTGTTAACAATTCCTCAATGTCAATTTCTGTAATGTTTGTTTTGTTCCAGTTGTCTGAAAAACTGGATCCAAAACTGTCCATTTCAATTGGATCCAAAATGAATTTTAAGTAAAATACTGTAATTTAATTTCTGTAATCTCTATTTTAATTACCTCTTAGGAGATTTTTGAAAAACTCAAAAGTATGTAAAATTTCCTTTGCAAAAGTTTGGTTGTGTCCATAAAACTAACAGATTAAATGTTACTAATAATTATCCAGAAAGGAGGAAAACTGGATTTGAAAAGG